TCGACAGTGAGCACAATGAGGGGCCATTGTACGACGGTTCGCCCATTTCTTATGAGGAGCCTCCGGTGATGAAGACATATCTATGCGACAATATGGATCCCGCGTGGGATGTCACAGAGGTTGAGCCTTCGAATGGGAAGCCGTCGTTCAGACCTGATTTTCAGAGTATCTTGGCCAAAGATGGTTTTTTGAAGCAAAAGCGGAGGCTCAATAACTGGTGGGCCATTTTCTGATTGTCTATCCCGAAGTCTCCCAACGATGCTTGGCTGTAGTTATAGATTTGAGCACGGTGAACGATGTGGTATGTTTGGTGTTAATTCCGCTGTGTGGGTTATGCGCAGGGAGGCGTGTACATGTACCTTTGCAGCTGTACAACACTTGCTCAAGCTTATGTTAACCATCGGGGTTGTTGGACATCTTTTGCGTTTGATCGGGGGAACGTCGGGCTATCCCTGTCATGGGGACATCTCCAACAGGAACATGTCGATTCGAGGGAGAATCCTGCTCAACCGGAGGAGATTGGTGCAGAATAATAATTATGATTATTACTACTATTATTATTATCATTATTATTAGTAGTAGTATTTTTATTATAGTATTTTATTATTATTTATTTATTTCTAATTGGTAGGAGAATATTTATTTATTTGGTATTTTCTTGTTTAGCAAGTTAGGGTTTTTAGTTTATATAAAGGACTCTCCTGCTTTATTGTTACTTGCTGAATTTTGAGATTGAATATGATATTGTGAGTTTTGTGTATTTTATTAGAGAATATCTCGTTTATCCTTCTCATTCATACGCTCCCCTGCATCAGGCTCTAAGAACTGAGATCAGAGCGATAGTTACCAATGATATGGCACCATGGCTAGGTGGACCAACTTCAGTAGTTAGCTCGGGTATGGCTGGTTAAACAAAGTTTCACTTGTGTGTCAATGTTTAATCTCATCAAGGAGCTCGCTTGAACATATGGGGAATATTACAACCCAGGGGTCGTGCGAGCGGTAAAGGTTACAGTTTCGATCCTGGCAAGAATCTACAGAAGGTGGGTCAGGAGGTCACTAGAATGATCTAAAGACTTGAATCATATGGTAATAGGGGACAAAATCCTGGTAGGGAAGAAAAAATACATCTCGTTAAGGAGTCTAAGATCTTAGAGACGTGTTAATCTAAGAAAGGAAATGCGATTAGATCTCATTCCTAGTGAGTACTTGTGCAAGAAGATACCCCGGGTAAATAAGAGGTTCTCATGTTTCACATTTACATAAGGCATATATTATGCTTTAAGCATACATTTTTTTTTTATATATATCCACGAGAGAAATTTTGATTTGAGCGTTGGAGGTTTACCGTCGGGACCTTTACTCGGCATGTTTTGCAGTTCATCGAAAATTCAGGCAAAGGACAATTCGCGGTGGTCCTGATTTAACCAGTTCAAATGCAATATGCATATCAAATTGGTGGCATCTGTGGTATGCTCACACAATAATCTGGAGAAGGATATGGAGGAGGCTTAGGCACCACTAGTCCCATGAAAAGAGGGCCACCGTCAGGCTGGTCAAAAGGTATGACTGCTCGTGTCACACCAAGGGCGGGCCTGTTAGCGTCGCGTACATGCATAACCTCCGCAATAGATCTTGGGCCACGATCTAATTCTAAGCAAGAGACATAAAATCCAAATTACAATCTCGATATAAAATATTAGCAGTTCGTCATCGTATTGATAAAGCAGGTCGTCAACAATCTTTGAATCAACTTGACGAAAATCAATAAAGAATGTCAATAATTATCTCTCACCAAATTTGAAATCCAAGCAGACTGGTGGTGTCTAATTGCAGGAAGTGGTCTTTATCCACAATGTAGAGAATTCGAAACCTGAGAGGATCCTGAGGTGAATTTTCTACTGATCAATTCCTAGTGGCAATGGCTCTCTTGTGGCTGTAGATATATGTAACTGTAGGAACCTGAAGCTTAATTCATGCATATATTGCGATTTAGTCTTCAAACTCTGATGTGTTGGGGGTTTGAAGTCTAGACTAGTCAGGCGCAAGCCTATAAAAGTGGTAACTAACAATGAACATCTAAAATAAATAACCAGAAATGCCTCTAATACATTGGTCTAAAAAAACTTAGAATGAAAATAAAGTCATAATATATCAAGCACTTACGTACTATATGATTTAAACAAAACATTTAAAATTTTCTTTCACATATACTATTGACTAAATAGATAATGTGAACACAAAAAAAATATTAATCCATCAACAAACACAAAAAACGAGATGAAGCGTCTCTTAATTACTTGAACCAAAACAAAATAAAATTCAACGCTTAAAATTATGTCAAAAAAAAAATATATATATATATTTTTAAAATTAATTGGCGTGTGACCCAAAGACTTGCCCGGGTCGATTTTCGGACGAGTTTAAAAAATATGCTTAAACCGAATGAATGTATACATAATTGATTTATTTTGGTTGGCATCGCAAAACATGACACACTTACAACACATTTATTTGGGTCCAAAACACTCGTGAATTTTAATAAGGCTTGAGAAGCATTGAAAAGTAAACGATTTGGTCAAGTCCACACTATGGACTTGGCAAAGCTCATTAACTATATATATGTATTGTGTTGTGTTTCACGACCTCGTGATGAATTTCGAATACATTTGCGGTCACGCTGTGTGCCCCTCATTTAGTGTACAATTTAATCTACTTTAAAAAACAAAAATCAAGTTTATTTAACATGCCAAAATGTTATCTAATTGAACATATTATTTTATAACATAAAATATTAATATGTTGTTAGCTATTATGCTACTAGTTTAAAAAAATTGTTCGACAAAGAATTATTACTTTTGTACATTGTTTTATTCATTTTGTAGTGATTCAATATGAGCATACATTCATTGAAAATATATTTTCATATAATTCTAAAACTAAATTATAAATATACTGGGACAATTTTGTCAAATAATGAATTTTAAGATAAATCAAATAGATACAATATAAAAATAATAAAAATAAATAAAAAATTGTAGAGTAATGAATAGTACCGCAAGATACTATTCATAACTTTAAAGTAGTGAAGAGACGTAGCACATCGTTGGACGAAAATTTTATCAAAACTGTATCGTTTTACGCTTGAGTAACGCAACATTGGGGCTGCTCTAAATTTAGAAATTTAATATGAAAAGATTTACCCGCGTGTTGTAGACTAACTATATATATATACACACTATTGTTCACTTAAAATACTAACTATATATTTCACTACTAAATTTATTATTATTTTTTTCAAAATGATATATTTTATACTTCAAAAAGGGAGATTTACAAGATGAGACCCTAAGGTTAACTAGCCCTACAAATCCACCAAGAAAGTTTACTCAAGAAGGAATGCTAATCGAAGCACCCTAGACTAACGAGTCCAAGCACTCAGTAGTAACATCTGATGATACGTGTATGCTTGGAGCTCAATCTAAACAACACTAAAATTGAAAACTCATGAGTGCAGACTAAAACCCCACTAGGAGAAAATAACCACACCAGTATTAAAAACTAAAAACACACACCTACAATATAATTAGACGCTACCTCCACAGCTTCTCACAAGTACACCTCAACAGACACTAAGTCCAACACACGAACCAAACCCCACAACAAAAAACCAATGAGAGCTACAGAGCTAGGCTCCAGACATAGAACTCGAACTTACGAGCGGCTAGTCAGATTTGGTGAGAAGGTAACCTTAGCCCAGATCTGAGCTCCCGCGGCTGTTAATCGAGG